AGGGCACACTAGAACACCCATAAGCTTATCAATAAAAGGAATAAGGCCTAGGACATATTAACTACCCAGAAACCTATTACAAACGTCAATCACAATATTACTGAAGGAAAGAGGAACAAAAGGCTAAGCCTAATTCACAAGTCATGCACCTCCTCAGTTTAGTTAATCACAACACAACTAAATCATCCAAATCATATTAGTTTTTCAAAATAGGTTAAGAGTAGATCTATAAAATATTCATATATAATAGTATCCTTTTGCTTCTGTCCATTTTAATAACATTCCAATAAAATATAATTGTCAAATTAAATAAAAGGAAGTATATATGTCAATACAAAATATGGGCTCTAAATGGCAATATACATATTAATACAATCCCAAGCCATAGGAGACCTACTATGATGTGCGTGCCTATACCTCTTGTAATATCCCAATTTTTGTCCCTAAGATTTAGGTAAAAAAAAAAAAGATATATATGTCTACATAAATATGTAAATGAATAAATTAACAAGGTAGAGAAGTCCCATATTGATTAAATGATAGGAAAAGGGAGCCTTAAGAACCTATATATAGGAGGTGGTAGAGTTGAGAATGAGCTAAGCAATTTTAATATACATTTGAGAAAGTCTCAATAAAGTATCATTAATTTTGTAGCTTTCTGGTACCAATTGCCTTAACAAAAAGAAAGTGCTCACAATAAAAAGCTATATATTTATCATTCCTAGTAGATAAGAATGTAATATCCTGAATTTTAGGCTTGGAAATGTAAGAAATAGCCTAAAATGAGTAGGCCATTAGACCCCAATTGGCAAGAGTCCTAGAAATTTCTTAAAAGGATAGAAGGATTCTTAAGGACCAAATGACAAAGAGAGTATTTTGGGACTAAAAAATGAGAAAGATGGAGACTCTGATGAAGTCTCAAGGGCCAAGTACAAGTTATGATAGAGACCTCAATCAGATAGTTTCTAGGGCTAAACCCTAGTAGAGACCTAATCGTAATTTTCAAAAGTTTCGGGCTAGAAACAGTAATGATGGAAAGTATGCCCAAAATTTTCAAAACATTTCTAGAAAATGGGAAATGAGGTTTTGAGGTTTGTATGAGGTTAAAAATGATAAAACTACCCCCGAAGAAAATTATGACATTTCAAGTTTTTTTAGCTAATTATGGGTTATTAGTTGAAATTGAATTATTTAAAATATTAGGAGGGCTCAGATGATTGAGAAAGAATGAGGAATAAATAGTTAAGACATTATTACATGTTTTAAAAATGATTCCGTCCCTATAATGGGTAGAGGTTGGCTTTAACAGAATTTAAAGTATATTTATACCCTATCTGGGGAAAGGCAAAATAAATAGTTTACAGGTCAAAGTTTGTCTTGAGAAAAATTAGAAAAATTTCCCATGATAAAAAGGAGTTATTAGTACCTAGAGACAGACTTTCAGAATAATGGATCAATAGAGAAAATTTGGTCAAGTTTACTCTGAAATAAATATTATTAAATGTTTAATAGAGAGACAAGGAGAAAAGCATCTCTGTCTATGTACATACATATAATTATTAGCGATGAGAAAGAGTGCTAGAACATGTTCCAGTGTTACTGAGTAAGGTTAAACCAGAAAAAATACTCGATATGGTGTAAAATTGTAAAATTAGTGGAGGAATAGTTAAGGATGAGAAGGAGCATGAATTTCTCTCTATTTTTCTCCCTATTTTAATATTAATTTAATAAGGGGGCATAGAAGGAATTATACAATTTGTCTGAGGATATAATTGAAAGAAATTAAATAATAATAAAATATTGTTTTATGATTACGTGTGCATTAGGTGGCATAACATGTGGCAAGAGATTAAGTGGTATGGTAAGGGATTTGAACACATGGCAAGAGGCTTGAATGGATCATAAGAGATCAGGCCATAAGATCCTTGTGATTTCAAGTAACTTTAAGGGCAAAATAGGAAACTCGAAGCTAAAATTTGTCTATAAATAACACCATAAATGACGAAATTCAGCAAAAATAGAAAAAATAAAGAGGGAAGGTTTTGGTCTTGAGTTGAGGGAAGGGGAAGAGAAAAAAGAAGAGAAAGAGGGAGAAGAAGATCAAGCTAACTCCAAGTAATCATCTAAGGTAAGTTAAGAATTTAATTATCTTGATTAGTGGTTATTTTGGGATTGATTTGGTAGTTAAAAGCCCAATGGAACCTTGCTTTCCAAATATGTTCAAGTCATGAAAAAGTTTATTGATGATAGAATCATATTTAATAGAATCATATTTAAAAACTAGAAAAGAGTAAGAATCAAGTGGCTTTAAGATGAAATTGGGAAGAATCTAACTTTTTCTTAACATTGTGTATTTTTTACCAGACCTATGGTTCTTGATTGGGTTGGAATTTGATGATTTTGATGCTCCTAATTTGGATACAAGTGAGAAAGCAAGTTTGGAAGCATTGGAATTGAAAATAAAAATTTTAAATTGTAAACCCTATGCATTTGGCCAAGCTAAGTTCATGAGGAAGGAGTTTGATTTTATTTGATTTGGGCTTGGAAATAGATTCTACATGCAAAACTAAAAGGGAATAGCATGCGGAATTAATTTTAGAAAGATTGGAATTAAAGCTCAAAAGTTAGAGGCTAAAGTAGGTTGAATGATCCAATGAGTATTTTTTTTTCTCTGTAGAGAATTGAAAAAGTTTTAAATGCAAACTTAAATCAACTCAATACAGTTTTTCTATAATTAGTTATGAATTTTTAAAGTTAGACTAAAAATCTGCAATTTACAAGTGAATAATAACCCGAAAATCAAATTTCAAATTTTCAATCTATAGGCTTATTTTGTAATCTGCATGAACCATAACGCTTTCAAACGCATACTAAAGAAGGCAAATAAAAGGATGTTTCAAAGAACATCTTAAAAAGCCAATGAAATCACAACACCCAACAAAACCAGACCACAACTAGCCATAGCAAAGCAACAAGCTAAACAAGAAAGCACCTATAGATGAAAGAAATCTTAACTAATACCAATCAAACCAGTAGGGGAAGAAAAAGAAGAAGACAAACCAAAACAGTTGCAAAAATCTACAAACCATGCTACTTTATCAAGTTCAATAGAACTTTCAAGAGAGAACACTCCTTCCAAATTCAGCTTTAACTTTCAATCTAAGCTCAACCAATTCAAACCACCATGCATATAATATATCAATCAACTTAGTTGATAGGCCTTTAAATGTTTTAATGGAAGTAGCTTTAGCACAAGAGAAAAGTATTTTCTTTTACGAGAACCTTAAATTAATGGCAGAATTTCAACTCGAATATATACCTAGTCTTTTCCAATTAAACCCATGCTTGTTAACCCATTTACATGGTTTTTTAAAATAGGGTTAAGGTACATCCAACACCCTAAAATATTTTGTAGTGTATCCAACACTCTAAAGTTTTTTTTTTTTGGTGTGTCCAACATCGTGGTACATCCAGTAACTTAAAATATTTTTTATGTGCTTTCAGCATTCAAAAATATTTTTTGGTGCATCTAGCACTAAGGCCAAAAAAAATTTCAGGGCATTGAACACACCTAAAAAATATCTTAAAGTGTTGGATGCATCACAAAACACTTCTGGATATCAGATGCACATGAGAAAATATTTCGGGATGCTAGATGCACTGTAACCTTTTAAAATAGGGGGACTTACAATCAAGTCCCAGAGAAGCAATATGATTACTAAAAAGTTCTAATAACAACTTAAATAGCCTGTAATGACAAGTTTTAGAATAAAGAATAACAACTTTTGAAACTTATTTTGTAATTATGTTCTTTTGGGATCTTATTGTAATTCTCCCTTTAAAATAACATACTTTATTTATTTGTTTTTGGCTAAAATATACATAACCCCTTTAATTTTAGGTCAATTAGATATAACCCCCCTCATCTATAAATGTTTAAATTCCACACCCTCACTTTTTAGGTTTTGATCATAAACCCCTTACCGTTAAAATGATGGTTAAAGTTAACGGAATTTATGCCACATCATTCTGATAAAGATTACTTGGCAAATGAGATGGGATATCTGTAGTAATATTAATTTGACCCGACTTAAAACCCGCCACTTTATTGAAAGGGCAATTTTGATATCAACTACGACCCCTAAATCACTAATGTTTACATTTGCAGCGTCTTCATGTTTTCTTCTTTGACATGTCCAGATCAACTCTCTTTTTTGCATTGTCATCTTTAGCTTCTGAAATGGCATAAAGTCATCTTAATTTCAAATTTTATGGCTAGCTGTCCCGCCCCTGTAACCTTTTTCCTTGAAATCTGTTAATGGTATATTTTTTAAAAACATTTTCATTTTATGCTTACATTCAGCTTAGGCCCTTTTTGTCTTTCTTTGTACAATATTGGAGTTAGTAAGCCAAGTTTAAATGCCAAATCAAACTAAAATGAAGATGGAAAGCATAGAGATATTTTGAACGAAAAAGATGATTTCTTGTGGATTCTAGAAAGCGTTAAAACATCACCTCAAGAAAGGAAGACATTGTCAGAGTTTAATTGGTACTGCTAAATTAGATCTGTTGAAATTAGTAGAATGGCAAAATTATCCTTAGATAAAATACTGTGTTTTTCGAGTTTAAATAAATTAATGAAAACTACAAAATTTCATCTCATTTGCCAAGTAATATTAATTAGGTTGGTATGGCATAAATTCTGTTAAACTTAACAGCCATTCCAACAATAGGGTGTTCATAGTCAAAATTTGAAACATCAGGGCGTGGAATTTACTTTTAAAGGTAAGGGGGGTTACGAGTAACTGATCTAAAGGTAAAGGGAGTTATCTGTACTTCGGCCTTTGTTTTTTTAACCACACGTTTTATATTCAGAGTTTGGGTTTCGGGTTATGGTTAAAATGCTTAAGCCCAGAGAAAATCAGGAGATGGCCCAAACGAAACAAAGCGACAGGTCGTTGGTGAATAGTACTGTCATTCCCGCGTGCCTTCCCTCGATCTGGATCCACGATTCAGAAAACTAGATCTAACTCTCTTCCTCTCATTTCCAATCTTCCCTCTTCTCTCTTCTCTCTTCTCTTTACTGATCGCCGACTGTTACCTTGACCGTCGACGGCTGCTGTGGCCGCTTCGTGACGCGCCCTCTCTCTCCTGGCTCATAGGTGCTTCCTTGGCCCGCTCGATCTGTCGAATTTTAAACTTGATTGTCTCCCTTTCATGCTTATTCGCATGTTTCCCCTTTTTTTTTTTTTTTTTCCTTTTTATCAGTTTCAGCTTTTGCATTCTTTTTTTGTTTCGGTCATTTGATTTTCTGGGTTGCCGATTGATCTCCTTTCCGCACATGGTGCGTTTTTTCAGAATATTTTCTTTTGAGTTTTCTATTTGTTGCATGGGAATTGCTTTTTACTCAGTCCTTGTAATGTTTATTATGGGTTTTGGTAAATGGACAATTTTTTTTTTTCACGGTGAATTGGTGAAGGACATTGGTTGCATCTCATTTGAGTTTGAACTGATTACTGAGAATGCTGCCGCGGAGGGGGCGGTTCAGGGTTTTGGATGAGCGGATTAGTTCTCCCCTGTTTTAATTTTTGCTATACGCGAAGTCTGAGAATTTGGGGGTTTATTACTCTTATTATTATGTTTACTGTGTCGTGTAGTTATCTCTTCTTAGAATGGTTATATGAAGTTCGAATAGTGACATGGATAAATTGCAAACTTCCGAATATATCTATTTCTGTGGTACTTGAAAGCTGAACTTAGGATAAATGATCACTTTTGCTTTCATTAGCGTGGTGATCTCAAGTGCTCAGCCACTCTTGTGTGTATGATTCAATATCACTTCCTGATTGTATCGGCAGACACTCTATTCTATTTAGGGAAAGTTGGGTTTCATAACACTTGTAGTGGAGAAATAGCAGGTCTAGTTTAATAATCGAAATGGATTTTGAGTCTTAACTGTTTTGTTGGTATATTGCTGGCAGAAATATGCCTTCTCAAAAGGTTGAAACGGGTCATCAAGACACAGTCCATGATGTGGCAATGGATTACTATGGCAAGCGGCTGGCTACAGCTTCATCTGACCATACTATAAAGATTATTGGGGTGAGCAACACAGCCTCTCACCATCTAGCAACTCTGAGTGGTCATCAAGGACCTGTGTGGCAAGTAGCGTGGGCTCACCCGAAATTTGGATCTCTACTCGCTTCATGTTCCTATGATGGGCGTGTCATTATATGGAAGGAAGGTAACCAAAATGAATGGACCCAGGCTCATGTCTTCGATGACCACAAGTCATCTGTGAATTCAGTTGCTTGGGCTCCTCATGAGTTGGGTCTTTCCTTGGCTTGTGGTTCATCAGATGGGAATATCTCAGTTTTCACTGCAAGAGCAGATGGTGGCTGGGACACTTCAAGGATTGATCAAGCCCACCCAGTTGGTGTCACTTCTGTTTCATGGGCCCCTTCCACAGCACCTGGTGCTCTTGTTGGTTCTGGGTTGCTTGAGTCTGTGCACAAGCTGTGTTCAGGCGGCTGCGACAATACGGTGAAGGTATGGAAGCTCTACAATGGGAACTGGAAGATGGACTGCTTCCCAGCCCTTCAAATGCATACTGATTGGGTTCGAGATGTCGCATGGGCACCTAACCTGGGACTACCTAAGTCTACCATTGCTAGTGCATCACAAGACGGAAGAGTCATTATATGGACTGTGGCCAGAGATGGTGATCAGTGGGAAGGCAAGGTTTTGAATGATTTCAAGACCCCTGTTTGGAGGGTCTCATGGTCATTGACAGGAAACATATTGGCTGTTGCTGATGGAAACAACAGCGTGACACTATGGAAGGAAGCCGTGGACGGGGAGTGGCAACAGGTGACAACGGTGGAACCCTAGAGTCTGATTTTTTTAAAGTCCTCATTGTTAATTTGGTACCATGATTAGAATTTTCATTTTCCATTCTTATAATGTAATTGACATCTTGTTTTTTCTTTTGTTCCATATCATACCTTTGAGTAAGTGTGCTTCTACTAAGCTCTAGGTCCTTGAACTTTGTGATCCATTTAAGAGACTCTGATTTCAAGAATGAAGTTGAATATTTTGAATTGTTTCCTTTAAACTTCAGATCCCTAGCATGTGAATTACATGGATCTTTAGAATGGAACTGAAGATCTTCGTTAGAGTGAGTCCATGTGACTGTGTGCCCTATTAAAGCCCCTCTCTTTGCTCTTTGAACTGTTGTTAATATGGTGAATTATGTGTGTATGATTGTATGTAAGTAGGGCGTTTTACTATTAGGTTATCACACACGATAGATGGCTTTCTCATCTAGTGTTAGATTGAGATTTGTCAACAATTTATTGGTTAATAACCCTCTTTTCTGCTCATCTTTTTTTTTTTTTTATAAATTAAATAAAACACTCATCTTCAGGTATTTCCTATTAAAATTGTAAAACTGGAGGAGGATTACATGAAAGTTGAAGGTGAAACCACAGATGTTCCTTAATGCTAACACCCCTGTAAGTTGATCTTTAGACGTGATATTGGTATACTTTGTATGAAGAGTTATTCAAAAGCTGGAAATTATGGGGAAAACAAAAACCTTTTAATAATCAAAGATTCAACCAATTTGTATTTTGTCCGAGCGTTTTAATTGGTATTAATTTAGTCCTTATAATTTCAAAATGTCAAGTATGGCCTCCCCATTGAATGCATTGAAATTATCATCAGATAAATGGTCTTAAAATATGGAATAAATGGAATCTGATGAGTAGTATTAGTCTGAGAATTAATTAGTTAATAAAAAAATTGTCTGAAATAAATGGGATGCTATGAATAGTACTTTCTGAAAGGGATAGTATGTTCTTATTTATAAGATATTAATAGTTTGTCTAAAATTTTTAATATCATTTTTATTTATGCTCTTATTAACTAGTTAATTTCACCGCATTAATCATCTCATTCGCTCATTCTCTCACACTATATACAAATAAGGGTGTTTTTAAAATATAAGTTGAAGATTTCGTATGTTTACTGTCTTTAACTAATTTTAATTATTTTTTATCTATATAATTCAGCTCGGTTATTTATATCTATAAAAAGGATTGGAAGGAGTCAGGGAATTTGTAATTATTAAAAACAGTTTTTTGTCTGATATTAACACTTTTTAGGCCCATTGGATTGCAGAGGATTGAAAATGATTACTCCATCACATTGGTGTGCGAATTTTCATAATGGGCCAATAAGCAGTTTTTCTTTGTTGGAGATGGTGATGATTGAGAGGGGTACTTAGGTCCCGTTTGGTACAAAGTATTAAAAATAAGGAATTGAGATTAGAATTGCAATTGAGAAAAATTATTAAAATAATATTTTGTATGAGTAATTGCTTGTTATATGGGATTAGACAAACCCATAGAGGTGAGATTAGAGAATGCCGCTTCCCCTTATGGTATTCCCAATCCCACATACATAGGTTTTGTTAATTTCTTATACTAAATATTTTTTAGTAGATTTTTTTCAATCCCAATCCTAATCCTTATTTCTAATTTTCAATGTTTCCTACCAAACAATATCTTAATGGTCATTTTGCTTTTGGGGCTTTAAGCCTCCTTCCTTACCCAAACAAGTCTGCAGTTTTAGTTTAAGTTCATCTAATAAAAGTTAGATTTTTCTACTAATAGGAATTAGGTCTAGTAGAAAAGAATAACCCTTGCCATAAAACTTGTCTTTTGTGTTAGTTTTGAAAACAAAAACATATTCTAAAATCGATAGTACCTTTCAAGTAATTGAAAATTTCTTTTGCAAATAATTCAATGGATCACCTTGTTCCCAACTATTCGCTTGATAAAAGTAACCTTTACTTTCTTTTCCTCATAATCTTTCACAAATTTTATAGGCTTTTAATTTCATTCAATTTTCAATTTGATCATTCTAGAATAAAAATGTAAAATTAATTATATTTCTTAATAAAATTTTCAATTCATTCTTTATGGATAAAGTTATGAACAAATTTCTGTGACTGTTTATCAATTTGATTTATATAATTTATTTACATATTCTTTTAATATGTATAATTCTTTACAATAAAGAAAGAAGATTTAATTTATACAATAAAGTAAAATGATCTAATATACATATATATATATATAGAGAGAGAGAAATGACAAAAATATAATCATAACTAAATTAAGAATGACTTGAACTATAAAAACTTGGCTACAAATTTTTGCTATGAAATTAACATAAATATATAATATCATCAATAGATCAAAATAAAATTAAAAGGACAGACAATACAAGCAGTACTATTCCAAAATAACTCTAATTTTCAAACTCTTGTGTAATTGGGAGACACATATTGTATAGCAGATTGTAAAATATTGTTAGTTTTTTTCGTTGTTCATTAATTAAATTCAGTGGTTATTTCATTTGCAGCCACCAGGAGGCCCAAATCCAAGCCTTTCTGCATTGAGATCATGCACCACCTCTATTGTCTTCTGCTGAACATTACCCAGAATAAGCACATCCTCTTCCCTTTTATTTGGAGCAAAAGCCAAACAAACCTGCTTCAAACTCGCAGCATAAAAAATCCCACTCGTGTCCAAGTTTAGGTTAACGCCCACCACCAAACACCAAATTTATCTTTGGAATTATCACCGTCTCGTACCCGCTCAAATCATAACACGTGTCCAGTATTACTAACTCGCTTGCCATCGGATACATCGCCATCTTTTGCTGGAACTCCGATCTCAGAGCAGCATACACCGACGGCGGAAGCCTCGTGATGGTTGTGCCGACGTCAATGATTGCTTTGGCCGATGACAGTGTAGAAGTAGCAGATGATAGTGTTGTTCCACCGACGGTAATTCCTATGATGTTGATGCCGTAGAACCAGTTTAAGTTGGGGATGGTGGTGATCGGAGTGTATTGGACATTTTTGGGAACTTCCCCGCTCCCAAAGGTGAGATGGCCGACCGAGCTAGGGGTGGAAGGGAGACAATAAGAGAAGACCTTGTTATAAGTATTTGCTGTTTGCTGAACGAAGGAGATAGGGTGGCGACCGAGGCCGAGTATGCCAGCGGCGCCGCCATAGGAATCCCCACGGTTGTTTTGGCCACAACCAAACAAGAAGTTGTCAAAGGTGTCAGCGGCGATGGTGAGCCTTTCTTTGCTGAGAAAGCCGACGGAGGAGGAGGTGTCAACGTATTCAACATTATATATGCATGTTTGGGTAGAATTAGCACATTGTCGATATCCTGGACCGGGGGAAAAAAAGGTCATCCCAAGAAATATTAATAAATTTTGGCCCAAAAAAATATTAATAAATAATTGAGCATTATTTTTATTACTTTTTATTTTCATCTTCATCTGTAAATTATATTATCAAAATAAAAATATCCTGTGTAATGAAAAAACATATTTCGTTGTATGACATTAATTTTTTAATAAAAAAGTATTTAGTTGACATGGCATATGACATACATATCATATTAATATATCAAACAATAAGTATTGATAAGTAAATTATGATTTTACTCTTTTTTTTTACATATAATTTTACTCCTACTAGCATAACAATTAATAAAAGTGGCGAAATAATTTTATGTTATTTTATTTGTGAATGGATACTGATATATTTTGCTAAAAGAACTATGACTTTATTGAAATAAGGTAAATTTGAAATGAATAAAAAATTGAAAAATAGTTTTTTTTGCTACGCATGATGACAACACTATTTGAGGTAAACCAATGAAGATTAACAATTGTACCTTTATATATAACACTACCTTTGCTTCTTAGTATTAAATCTAGCTTGACTTTCATTTTAAGTCTAAATATAAGACTCCAATTCACTTTGTTTCTCATATTTATTTACTTTTTTAAAATAGTCATTGTAGTAGTTGTGTATATATATTAAAGGTTTATTCAAATGGTACTTTTAGTTAATACAAGATTAGCAAAGGTATCTTAGGAAAAATAACACCTAATTATTATAAATAACTAACTTAACAAACTTTTTAAATATACTTAAATTAGTCTCTTATATTACGGATCAGAGGCAGCATAATAATAATAACAATAGGACATAAAACACACATACCAGAACACAAGGGTCTCTCTGAATGTGTGAGGGGGCTTTGTCGGAAATTCCCAACAATTATTACCTCAGTCCTCAATATAAGAGTTATTTGACTAATTAAATAGATTAATAAAATTAGTTTAAGTTATTTATTTGTAATAAATAGATGTTGTCTTTCCTAAAATACTCTTTCTAATCAAGTATATTAGATAAAACTACCATTATTACAATGACTATTTTGGAAAAAATGGGTAAATATAAGAGATAAAGTGAATTGAGATTTTATATTTAGAACCAAAATAAAATTCAAACTAGCTCATATATTAAAGATCAAAAGTAATATTACAGTTTATCTCCAAAAAAAACACAAACTGTATGTGTTTCACCAATATTTTATCGTCGAATTAAAACATAATTAAGAGACACGTATAGTTACTTTTCAGTTCAAAATGCAAAATAACACCTGCCCAAAGCTTTTATTAAAAAGTTATTAAAAGCCCATTTTTAACCCCACTATAACATTGATGAGTAAGAATATGCATAGCTTGATTATTTCATATGGAAGAAAACTAAAAGATTAAGGATTAGTTAACTCACTTCCTGTAGAAAAAATCTGGCTGCACATTGAAGAAGAAGAGCAATTGATGTGAGAATAAGTTGAGGATTTAGAGGGATCAAAGATTGGCTCTTGTTGGTTGTAACACGTCACAAGACACGGTTTGCATTGAGTCCAAGTGAGATAACTTCCAGTATCGAAAATAATCGACAAGTTTGCTTTAGGGCTACCCAAGCCGACGGTGACAATGTAGCCACCGGAGCCAATGGGTACGCCAGACCTCGCCGGAATGCTTGCAGAATCCGGCTGCTTCATGTTTTCATGGCCGAACCCTTTGGAGAGCTTGGAATGAATTGAATTGACCCTTTCCTGATCTTCACTAAGGATATCAGTATGTGTTGGAGATTTAGGTTCTGCTCCGTTATGCTTTTCTTCACAACATGGCCCATGTCTCTGCATCACTTCTAGGCTCGATTTCTTCTTCAATCCTAATCAATTGTATCAATTTACGTTATACTCATTGAAGTTGGCTATTTTTTTTTTAGAGGGCTCTCTCTTTAAACTTATGCTAATTACTACTTCTGGTTTTTAATAAGACCTAATTAACTAATTTGAAAAAAACTAAAAAAGTTACTAATTAAATTACTTATAGTATATGTTACATGATATCTTTAAAATAATTATGTGTATCTATCAATAGATTATATATCAATTTAGAGATAAGACAAATTAGTTTTAAAAAATGACAAACATAAACACTTTAAAAGAATTTAGTAACTTCCTTAATTTTCTTAAATCAGTTAATTAAGTTTTATATTAAGAATAAGAGGTAGTTTTTTTTTTTTTGTGAACTTAAACTTATGCTAATTAATAACAGGAAAATAATAAATTCTACATGACAAGATGCTACTCCTTGTGTCTTCTTTTTATCATCTGTTAGAGATATGATACTTAAACAAAACCAGAAAGGTAATTCAGATTCATAACATCACAACCAGACTTAAGTATATGAAAGAAGAATGTGTGCAAGTGTGTGGCCTCTGGCGTGCACGCGCATATACACATACAATATTTTAGAGTTAACTACTTTTCCTTCTTACATTTACAAATATCAAATAACAAATGCTTTAGATGGGAGATCGAAAATATCTATATAACCTATAAAATATCACATAATATAAAAGCTCAAACAAGGTGTTCGTTTCTTGGGCTATGAAACCTCGTTTGAGAGAGAGAGAGAGAGAATGACTATATAGAACCTGTGAAATTAGGTGAGGAAGTGGATGATGGAAAGAGCGAGGAGAGAGAAACAGTTAGCCATTGTTGGTTTCCTATGGCCTCTATTTCTTCTTCAATGGCGGCTTCATTGTTGAAGATGATTATACCTAAAACAGAAGCAAAAAAGAAACAATACTTATTGTGAGAGGCCATTTCCTTAGTACTTGATTCTCTCAAATCCCACTATGCTTGCCATTTATAGGGTTTTCCCAAAAGCCTATATCGAGAGGGCAAAAATATAAAAATATGAATATAAATAAAAAGCTTAGTCGTCATTTTCCTTGAGTAATAAAATGTTAAGAGTTAAGAATCTAATTACAACCAAAAGTAAATTTTAGAAATCCTTTGGAGGGTTTCGGGATGGGAGATTTTCAAATTGCTAAATTGCGATTTTTAATGGAGCTTTAATTCTAAGCCGTAAACTCTTTTTCAATAAGTTCACAATTTAACTTCTTTTAAAGAATAAACTGTTTTAGTCCTTATGATTTTACGTGCGATATATATATATATATATATATATTTATTTATTTATTTGTTACACACATTTTAAGAATTTACTTTAATCATTATATATATTAGATGTAATCAGATAATATACGATGTTATACCAACAAGATCCAACAAATGCTCAGAAAATTATGTCAAGAGGACTAAATTAAATAATTTATAAATTATTAATACTGAATTAAAAATTTAATATGTAAGAAATTGAATTTTAAATAAAATTATAAGGAAAATTACAATTTTTCCTGTCTCAATATAATTTTTTGACAAATCTTGAGTTATAATTTTTTTCTGCAATGTTTATGATAAAATGTTATCAATTGCATGTCATTCATTTAAAGAAACAATATATAATTTTATTGACAGATTTTTTATCAATTAATTGGTATATAATTAATACGCAGACTATCTCATGAAACCATGCTATAGACCAATTCATACTAGATTATTGTTGAGTCTAAACAGGGAGTAACTTTTCTAACACATTTTTTTATTAAATTTGTGATATCTGAACTTTTGATGTTATTTAATGGGCGTCAAATCAGTTACGTTAGCGGCTTTCGAGAGTTTTTCCATTAGTTGTGATTATTTATTTCATAAAATGATTATAAGTTTACTCTCTGCACCTAAAATCACATATACGGATGCCTTATGATATATACATAAATTGAATATTAGCATAAGATACTTATTAGAAAAGATGACAAAAAAATACTTATTGAATTTTAAAAATATAAATAGGTTATGCTGACTGCTCTTATAATGGTTTTGACTACGTTTGTAATGATTTTAGCAAATCAAAATCCACTAAAATTATCTATTTGTCATTTTAAAATTCAACAAGTATTTTTTTGTCATTTTTCCTATTTATTATGATATGTGATTTCATAAAATGACTATTAGTTATTTTCAAACCATAGAAACATGTTTATGTACACACACGTGATTTCTTACTATAATCTTATCAATTGTAAGTATATAAATTGACAAATACAAATTTTTCTTATTACAAGGCATGTCCAACCCATGTATCTTTTAATTAGCATGATGTTATGTAATACTTTTTTATATAAATAAAGTTTACATGAGAGAGGCCTAAAGCAGTTATTGGGATTATCATCTTTTCAACAAGTTGTTTTTTTTTTTCATTTGTAGGCAGTTTTAATTTTTTTTATTAGATTCTTTGTAATATAATTAACCAATGAGGGTTAGGCTGTGGAAGGAATTAGATCTTCACAACATGGCAAACTTTGAATTCCTGTTTAGAGTAGTACTCATATTTAGTGCCTAACAATATTTTTAACAGGAGGATATCCATGCATAGCAAAAACGAAAAAATTCTTTGTGATATAGTATAGTTGAACTCCATACATATTTAAGTAATTGACGGAAATTTAAAAAAAAAACAGAGAAAAAAAAAAAGATGTACGTCTTGCGTATGAGAAGCAATTGGGAATTGGGATCTATTATAATCTTGCGTTGTGTCTTTCTTCATTAGGAAAGAGTCATGCACAAAAAATAAAGATAAAAGTTACATAGAATCTGACCCTTGTTCAAAACGAGAGATTATTATTTACTTGTCATATTTCATTAATGATAATTTAAATATTGTGAAAGAAAGTGAAAAGAGAAGTATCTAAATGAGAGCAAGAATATAAGTGATTCAAAACTTTACAAAAATCATTTATTCATTTAATTTAGGTTTGCTTTTGATATGTTAGTTGTTTTTATGTTATTTTTATTAATCATAATATAAATATTATATGTCACCCTCAGAGTATTCACTGACAATTCTTTTTAATTGTTATAAGATGGATGCCAAAGGCTACCAAAGAAAAACAGCCAAATACTCCCTCCACTCCTAAATATTCACGAGTCATGTTGTAGGGTTATCAAATAAAACTAAACTAAATGCAATATAATGTTACTAACTTGGGTCGATACTTTAAAGACCCTATAAATATTTTAATAATCTAAATGTATATATCAAGTTAACCAAGTGTAATATAAGAAGTGTAATTATGGAAAAGTGAATCAATTAAGAACTGAGCAAGGCTATTTAATTTTTATAATTTTTCAATGAAGTGAGTGAAGATGAAATGCAATGATATGAATTATCCCACTTTTTGTTGAGTTCAAGTCTTCCACACTTTTAATTAAGTCCTTTGTTAAGCCAAGGATTGTGAAGACATCTTCTATAAACAATGAACGTAATGAGTCGGAGCTCTAGCTCATTAGATCCATTTCAATGCTTAATATGAATTGAATTTTGCAGAAGGAATTATGATCACTTCCAACCAACAATGTTAACACACTAACAGGTTGAATAAAAGCTTCAAAAACTTTAATGAAAGAATCAATATAATAGAAGGTCGTAACAATTCAATCAATCAATTAAAGTGCACAATATAATCCAAATTTTGGTCTCAATGCAAGCCAATCTAAAACAATATTCCTAAATAAACCGATAAACTTAACTTTTCTATAGTGACTTTAAAAAATAACTTTTTATAATCAAATCATGCTATATACAAACTCAAATTTATATCACAATTAGCTACACTAATTAATTATATAATATTGTTATCCGTGATAGAAAAGAGTAGCACCCAATCATACATCCTATTACAAATAAAAGAACTTTTTCTAACTCATTCAAATACAAACTATGTAAGAAAAGGTCAATCTCATCTAATATGGTTATAAAACAATATATAATATAGCTCATAAATCAAAATATTAAGAATTAAATCTTAATTCATACTTTATAATCAATTCATAAACAAATTACATGCGATCCTAAGCCTCTGGCCAACTACCAGCACACATACCTGTTGGAAATTGTGCCCTAGGGGCCAATCATTGTGTTATGAACATTGTTCATTTATGAATTTATTAATTATGTTATCATATTATTTGCATGTTTACTGTGATGACTATCCTTGGATAACTCATGGTTTATCCTAAATGTCCCTGGTCGGTCATTTATATGGGAGCAAAGATGAAATAAGACCAGTATGACTTTGAAGATATATAGAGATATAAATCAAAGTCATAGGCACGCGTAAGAGTACAAGGTGTTGGACCGACCCGCTATGAGAGAGCTACATGGGTTAAGTCATAAGCTTCTCTCATATACAAACCATGTCACTGTGCCCTTTGACCTGAGATCATCATGGATTCCTACATGAGAAACGCTCAGCTTTGACCTAGTCAAAAGTCACTTTTGACCAAGTGATCATAAAGACTATGTTCAGGCTTAGTGGTTTTTCATGCAGAGGAATGTGAATGGTCAAGATAGAATTTGTCCCTCACATTCATAGAGAGATATTACTGGGCCCCTCGATGAGTGAGTCTGAGAAATGTATGGCCATACTATAATGGAAAGGCAGTTCCATTTCTATACTCAGACTACTCAAGGATCGAGAAAGTAACGGTCATGAATAGGAGGATGACGTTCTCCATGCCTCATCTATGACCAAAATGTCGTGTGACAAAAGGGACGTGATATGGTTGTATGAAAGGTTACATCGTTCAATGATCCTCATATGATTTGGGTAGTCATGATGTCTTGCTAGAGACCGCTTACGACTTGTGAGTCATTATAGTTAATGGCCCACTACCAACTTCATATGGGCCTACAGGATCGCACACAAAATAGTCCAACACGAGTTATGATGTCCAGATTCATTGAATCTAAGATATGTCCAGATTCAATGAATAATATAGGGTGGATGTGTATATATATATATAAATTCGTATATATATATACATATTATATAAATATAAGAGATATTAATTGTTAGATTTAATTTATAAGGATAAATTAGATCTATGTAAATTAATTCCGTCATATCTTTATTTTGAATAAAATAAATAGGTGAATTAAATTTGTGAGACAGATTTAATATAAACCGTATTTATTTAATTGTTCTCTTATCTGATTAGTCAATATTTGATATTGCATTAATTTCGGAATTAATTTAGAATTAATTTTGAAATTAAATATCATTAATAATACCTATAGAATCCTATATATTTGATATTAGGAGCTAGGGTTTTGTGTGTGAGAGGGCAAAAGCTTGCAGATAAGAGACGGCCAAAAATAGAGAGAGGAGGACGGATTCTTTGAAAAACCCTAAACGGATAAAGAGGTGCTAGCACGTCGTTCGTGACTGGAGAGCTGTTCGTGTGGATACCGGTAGAGGAAGTCGACCAGAGTTGTCAACTTCGAGCGACAAAGGAGGCGAGCAAAGGCATCCTGAATGGCGGAATCACCGAGCCACCAAGAAATCGAACATCAAAGGTAATGCTTCTTACTACTTGACTTAAACACGATCGGTAGATCCGGGCAAGGGATTGAAAATTTTTAAATTTATTTTCCGTTGCACATCTTTCAATTCCCTTCAATACCATAATAGTACAACTCAAAAGACATAAGACATAATAATACATGAATCAATTAAAAACAATTTATTCTAAGGTGAAAATATACAAGATATAACATAGCTCATAAATCGAGGAGATGCTACAAGTCGCTAATATAGCTTTACTCCTCCTGAGCCTTCTCTGGCGTCCCTCCTTTAAAACTTTTACCTAAAAAATATTAAACAATAAGGATGAGACAATGTCTCAGTAACTAAATCCCTACCTATCACACACACTAGCATGGGCTAGCGAGGTGTCAGGTGGGATATACAGAGTTAATAATAGTCAGTAGATATTTATTTAACATTAAACTCATAGTAACCATATAAGGTGATATTTCTGCCAATCTCATGCAGCTGATAAATTTCGAAAGAGATAACATACTTTTCATTTTATTCAAAAGATATAAATATCAAATGAAGATATCATGTCAGATGCAATCTATGAACCTAAATCCATCCTTATATCCTCATTATTTCTGCCGACTAGACTCATGGGCTAAGTTCTTTCCATTTGAATAGCTACTTTAACAAGCTTATCACACGAGTAAAATGGATCATCCAAAGACCACAAAGCACTCAGTAAACCGTGGGTCCCCCCTCAAAGAACTAGTGGGGTGTCGCAGTCCCTCGAAGAACTAGTGGGACCATAATAGTAGCTAACCATGGAGCTCCATATAAAGGTCGATACCACGTGGTAAGTATATAAAGCTTAGTAACTCCAATCATCTTCTTCCCCCACCCAAACTAGATGCACAAGGTTCAAAATAACACATTTATATGCATAATCAATCAAATTCTAGGATAACACCGCATAGTCATAATCATTAATATCTAACAATACAAATAATTTCAATCCTTTTCAAAATAGTATCCCACACGAAAATTCATACAAAACATAACACACACACACGAAACTTGGTTATAAAATCACTCACAAACCTTACACCAATACATGTAACAGATAGAAATTTAGTTACATAGTCTCCTAGTTAACAGTCAAGTACAAACGGGGCCTGTACTCAAAAGTACCACAATAGGATTTATATCTACAATTGAAATTAAAACATTATCTCATAGTATTAGAGTAAATTACTCACAAATTTTTAGCCTTTAACGCTCCCTCTAATACCTTCAACTGTTACTCAAAATTCTAGTACGAAAGATTTTTTCTAAGGTTTGTAGTAAGAACATATATATGATGATTTATATTCAATTCCTAGATTCCCTTAACTTACATTATCTGTAATTATTAAATTATATCATTTGAATCACCAAATTCATAACCTAGATAGAGAACCCTTAATTTATAGCTTACGTTCTATCTTCAAAGAATTTGGACAGACAACCTCAATATGAGTTAATTTATTGTTACTGTAGAAGTATAATTATTAATCCAACCATTGAATTTAATGTCTTACATGTCATAAGTCTACTCTATAAATTTCGGGTTAATCCAACGGTGAATGAATTTAAAAATGCTAATTTACTATCTAGTATTCTATCTACCAAATCTAAAAAATAAATAAAAAACACACCTAATAACTTTTAACTTAGAGATCGAATTGACGATGCAATCATTAAAATTGATGAGTATGAAGTCTAGAATCGGCTGACCAAATTGCAGCTCAATCCAACAGTTCACAGACTTGTAAATAGCACTTTACTGAGACTGTCTCAGTTTTGTGTGAAAATTATTTAATTCATTTTTAACTCTCTCCTATTACTACCTATATATAGGCTCCTAGAGCTCCCTCTTCCCATTATTTAGTCGATGTGGGGCTTCTTAACATTGATATTTTATTTATTTCCTTATATATACACACACATACATAGAATCAGAATTATTTTAATTGCATATATATATTTAACCTCTACTTATTCTATGAAAATTTGTTTAAATATTAGAGATATAAAAATTTGGATGTTACACAATCGACTCACATCTTAGCCATAACTACATGGGTTAAGATGCAAATATCTCCTGAAAGTTTGAGCTTAGGAGCATTAGGCATCCGAAAATATTTTTTGGCTTAATGTCACCCTGGAAGTTTTCAAATCATAACAATGTCACCCTGGCCATTATCTATGTCAAGTTTAACTGTTAGTTGACCAATTATGTTGAGTTGGCATGTTCACGTGTTGTCCTTGTCATTTTCTTTTATAGGTTAAGTGTGAATTTTCCCCTAAAATTTTTACTCAGGAGCACTTCATATTGAAAAGTTTACAAATAGTAGCAATATTGTCCCAATTGTTATTCATGTTAAAGTTGATCATTAATTAACCAAATATGTCAAGCTGGTAGATCCACATGTGATCTACTTCACTCTTTTTTCAAGGTGAGGATTTACCACAAACTCTGGGAAAATTATTGCTTCCATGCTTTCCAAACCCATGGCTATTCCTGAATTCGACCTCATCATTTACATCTTTCAAGAATTCTCGTGAGCTTCTCCTCTTCGTATATTATTTACTATATTTTTATGCTCTACTTTTGTTCTTATAAAAAGTACAAAACTAAGAGTGAATGATGAAATAATAGATGTGTGGAAAAAGTTATTTTTGTGTGGGAGAAATGACATTAGGGTTGTGAACCAGGAATGAAGTGGATAACATGGGGGGGGAAGAAGTGAATCACATATGGACCTATCAAGTTAACATATTTGCTTAGTTAATGGGTCAAACTTAGCATGGATAACAGCTGAGACAACGTTACTACAATTTGAAACTTTGGGATACCCAACGCTCCTGAGTCAAACCTTTCGGCGAAAATTTACACTTAACCTAGAAAAGAAAATGACGTAGACAACACATGGACTTGCAACTCGGTATAGTTTGTCAACTAACAATCAAACTTAACCTATATAACAGCCAAGGCAGCATTGCAACGATTTGAAAACTTTCAAAGGAACAATGAGATTTTAATTTCACTCAATTTGTTTGGCCAAATATTTCACTCAATTTTTAATTTGATCATTAGAGAATAAAAATGTAAAATTAAATTTATTTTTTTAATAAAATTTTAGTTCGTTCTTTATGAAAATAATTATAAACAAAATTTTGTGACATTTTTTAATTTGATTCATATAATTGATTTACATATTCTATGAATATCTATAATTCTATATAATAACGAAATAAGATTCATAAAAGTATAATGATCTAACATATATATTGTAAAATATTTAAGAAATATATAAAATAAGACACTAAGTTATGATTTGAACTGTAAAAATTTGAGCCCAATTTTCTGCTAAAAAAAAAATTAAAATCATCGATATATAATATCATCAACATATCAAAATAATTTTATTGCTTTTTAACAAAACCCATTACAAACTAGCACTATTAAAAAACCATTGAACTTAATTGTATAATGCAGGCACATATATAGTGAAGCATTACTTTTACTTACGTTTGGTATGAGGGAAATGGAGGAGAGGAGAGGGGAGAGCAGAAAATTTTTTGATGAACTCAATTTAAAAAATTGAAAAGTGGGTTTTAAAATTTTAATAAAGAGAAGATATAAGATAAAAGAATAATAAAATTCAATTAAAAACTTTTAGCCCAATTTTTTCAATTTTTTAAACCCAAGTCATTAAAACTTTTTTTCTAAACCCTCTTCTCTTCATTTCCCTCGTGGCCATTTCAGATGCAACCACCAGGAGGCCCAAATCCAAGCCTTTCCACATTAAGATCATATACCACCTCTATTGTCTTCTGCTGAACATTACCCAGAATAACCACATCCTCATCATTCGTATTCGGAGCAAAAGCCAAACAAACTTGCTTCTCACTCGCAGCATAAACTATTCCACTTGCATCCAAGTTTAGCTTAACCCCACCACCAAACACCAGGTTTATCTCTGGAATCATCACTGTCTCGTACCCACTTAAATCATAACATGTGTCCAGCATTACTAACTCACAGGCCATGGGATAAATTGCCATCTTTTTTTGAAACTCCGATCTCAGAGCAGCATACACCGACTGCGGAAGCCTCGTGATGGTCGTGCCGACATCAATTATTGCTTTGGCCGACGATAGTGTTGAAGTAACCGATGATAGTTCTGCTCCACCGACGGTGATTCCGATGACGTTGATGCCGTAGAATGAGGTCAAGTTAGGGATAGTGGTGATCGGAGTGTATTGGACATTATTGGGAACGTCGTTGCTGCCAAAGGTGAGGTGGCCCATGGAGCTGGGAGTGGAGGGAAGACAATAGGAAAAGACTTTGTTATAAGTGTTGGTTGTTTGTTGGACGAAGGAGATGGGGTGCCGGCTAAGGCCAAGTATCCCGGCGGCGCCACCTAAGGTATTCCCACCTTTATTTGGGCTGCAACCGAACAAGAAGTTGTCAAAGGTGCCCCCAGCGGCGGTGGTGAGCCTTTCTTTGCTGAGAAAGCCACCGGAGAAGGAGGCCTCAGCATATTTAAGCTTGTATATGCATGTTTTGGTATAATTAGCACATTCTTGATATTCTGGATGGGGCAAAAGGAGGGGAAAAAAAATCAAAGTTACATCAATAAATATTAACAAACAATTCAGCACTATTTTTAGTACTTTTTATATTCATATATATATTTGTTTATTATATTAAAAATAGATTCTTTAATTATTAATCCTTTCAAAATAATTTAAATATCCTGTGTACTGGAAAAAACATATTTATTTGTATGACATGAACAGTATCTATGACAGACATATCATATAAATTTTTTACCCATAGATTTAACAGTTTGCATAAGATCAGAAAATTTGCCAATCATAAGTATTGTTAAGTAATTTATGATTTTACTATTCCTATTATGACAGTTAGTAAAAGTGGTGAAATAGCTTTTTTCTTTTTGGAAATAAGTACTTGCATATTTATTTTGCAAAAGGAAGACTATGATTTCATTGAAATATGGTAAACTGAACATGAGTAAAAATTAAATAATAATTCTTGAAGCGAAATAATGATAGCTAAACCAATGACGATTAATAATTTCTTCTCTATATAATATAATAATAAAATAGTACGTATTCAAATCTAAGTATATGAGTTAGATAATTAATTTGTAAATATTAAAAAAAATAGTTAAATTAATAACATGTAAGAAATGTGTGCGTATTTTCTAAAATATTCCTTTGATAATTTGCATTGAAAGCCACCCTGAATGGAAACTTCCTTAATAAGTATAGTTAGAAAGGATAACTTGAAAAATAAATTATAAATTTAAAGTACAAAGTATATTAAGGTCTTACGATTCCACTGACTTCTATATTTAAAATCCAACAAAAAGTATATAACATACATAATGGTCTCTATGTGTGGTGGGGTGCTTTGTTGAAAATCTATAGACAATTATTACAACTTATTTAAGGAAAAAAAATGCAAAATGGTTTGTGTATGAGCAATATTGTCCAATTAAAACATAATTAAGGGGTGGGGTTAATTTTCAAAATGTAAAATAACAGTTTTGTCAATACATTGATTAAAAAGTTATTAAAAGTCAATTTGTTAACCCATTTTTATAAAGACATTAAGTGAGACTATGCATATAACTTCATTATTTCATGAAATTAAGGACCAAAAAAAGGCAAGGAATGGTTAATATACTTCCTGTAGACAAAATCCAAGCGCACATGGAAGAAGGGCACTTGATGTGAGAATAAGTTGTGGACTTAGAGGGATCAAAGATTGGTTCTTGTTGGTCGTAATGGCTCTCCACAAGATATGGCTTGCACCGAGTCCAAGTGAAGTCACTTCCAGTATCAAAAATAAACGACCATTCTGTTTCAGGGCTACCCAAACTGATGCTGACAATGTAGCCACCGGCGCGAATTGGCAAGCCAGACCTCACCGGTATGTTCGCAGAATCTGGCTGCTTCATGTTTTCATGGCTGAACCTCCTGGGGAGCATGGAGTGAATTGAATTGACCCTTGCTTCATCTTCACTGAGGATATCAATGTGTGGGTGAGATTCATTAGGTTCTGCCTTGTCATGCTTCTGTTGCCAACATGGCCCATGTCTTTGCATCACTTGCAGGCTTGAATTCTTCTTCCATCCTGACATCAATTGTATCAAATTACATTATACTACTCATTGATCTATTACTTATTGACTTTTGTACTTAGAATATTTTTCAAGTCTAAAGTACACATCAAAGATATTACATGTATAAATCCAATGACAAAATTACAACAAATATATAGCACAGATTTGAAAACTTGAAGTTATTCATGAACGTAAAATTAATTAGTATATATACACTAGTCACATGTTATACCTATATATATATATTTAGAGTGATAAATTCTACTCATCCGATCCTTGATTAATATAAGAGTTACTTAACTAATTTAAGTAGATTAAAGAAACCAAATAAATTACTTAATTCTAATAAATATGACATGACCTCCCTAAATAACCTTGTATAACATTAGACTATATATCCAATTTGAAAAATAATTTGAGAAAACAATGAAAAATATACAAGATAAAATATATTAAAGTCTTACATTTAAGGTCCAAAACAAACTCTAGATGAGTACTCAATAAGAGTGCTATATTTCTTTTTCCTTCTCTTTATTATCTCTTAGAGATCAAATATTTAATAATAAATGCAAACATAATTCAAACTCACAATACTATGATCAAATTTATGTATGATAGAAGAATGTGCACACATGTGCGTGCTGTATATTTTAACTATCACTACTAGAAAATCCTCTTTTTGCACCATGTTATCTATCCTGGTTTTTGCGCCAACGATGTAACAAATAATTCAGGCAGGGCATTTTTGTAGATAATGACACAATATTTACACCAGTTATTAACACGAACGGTATAACCCTTATTATTTACAATGGACATTCACCTAACCAATGTAAATGTAGATTTCAAAACATCAGTTATTTCAACAACCATTGTTTGAATTGGACAGATGAGGCTATCTCTTTTTGTTTTCGTTCTCCTCAAGTGGCATGCCTAAACTTGAAAAATCATTGTGTCTTGTCCCTGTCAATTTAAGGTCAAAATCACACTATTCTTCCTTGCCATCGCCGTTGTATTTAATCGCTAGTAGCCTCACAATGGTGAAGCTGTAGAGAACTCTCCCAATGCGTCCACCATTCCCTCCTCCTCCACCTCCCCTATTTGACCAGCTACTTACCAAGATAGCTACGACAGCGTTTGCCACATCATCCTTCTCTTCTATATCCTCAACAATAAAGTCAACCTCATATTTGATGATCGAGACATTAAGTATGATGTTTTGAATGACCCTTTTGTTGCCTCCTCTTTCTCTAGAGAAGAAGCCCCCTCTTACTCCTATTCCTTCAACTAATGAGGAACAAGAGTTGTTTTCTTGTTTATCATAAAAATGTGATTTTTTTGAAATATTTTGTAAGGGCCTCCATGCCCCTAATCTCATATAATATATATAGCTATTTGTTGATCTGATTTGTTCATTTGTTTCCCTTTATTGTTTTTTTTTTCACATTTTACTGATGTTTTTATGCTAATAACAAGCCCTAAAATTGGAAAGTAATACTACTATAAAGAACGTGAACTGATAATTTTCTAGGTTTTGGGTGAATAAAATTTATGTCAGTTATGGTTAAAACCCATTTAAAAATCAATGTTAACACCGATCATTGACATGTTTGATGTAATAACAAACATTTACACCAACCTTTAGGTATAACCGGTGTTAAGAGTCTACCCTAGCTACATAAGGGCTTTCTCGTGCTCAATTTGGTGACCTCAGAACACTCTCGTCTTGCGCGCTCTCTCCTCTTAACTTGTGGTGGGACGGTGTGGAGTGCTCACGAAGTTCTTTCCGTCACCATTACTATTGCTATTATATTCTCATCACAAGTAACATCGTTATCATTTTATTTCTCCCATGAGATATTCGACTAAGCCCTAATACTCGTACTCATCATTCTGTTCGAGATCTTCATCATCACCATTTATGGCATGGGGTTTTCTCCACGGACCACATGATACACTCCCTCTCAACCCAGGTAACTCATTCCTTCGTTCATTTTTGCCACTGACATTATTGTTTGTGCGTTTATTGCTGTTTATTGTTCTTTGTTAACTTGCTATTTGAGAGGGTTTGGGTGATTTGTATGAGTGTTGGATGTATATGGATTAAAATTTAATCACAAAGTGTGCTCATAGCAGATGTCCAATTACATCTGCGAAACCCAACACTCAAAAATCATTTAACCCATTTAGAGGTAGCAAAATAGAGTAACCAGGCAAAATTAATAAACTTTCAAAAGACAAATGTCATAATAACAACTAGTGAGTATAAGAAAAAATAATTAATTAAAAACATCCACTTTTAGACCAAAGGTCCAGGAAGTAGACCTTTTCTTTTATTTAAATTTCCAATAGTTACACTGATTGGTATTATAACTAGTGTTAAAAGCAATATTTTCTATACCGATTACCCTACCAGTGCAAAAAGCGGGGACTTTTAACATAAGTCGTATTGCCAGTGTCAAAGACCCATTCTAAACTATGTAAAAAACCTTTTTCTAGTATTGTATTTTTCATTTTTACATCTACAAATATCAAATAAAAAATGCTTTAGGCGAGAGAAGGAAAATACATAACCTATGAAGTATCTGCATATAAAATATAAAAACTTCAACAAGACGCTTCTTTTATGAGCTAAGAACATTATGATTCCTAGGAAAGAGAGCATGAATATATAGAACCTGTGAAAGGTGTGCAAATAGTGGAAGATGGCAAGAGAGAAGAGAGAGAAACAGTTAGCCATTGTTCGTTTATTATGGCCCCTGTTTCTTCTTCAATGACGGTTCCATTGTTGAAGATGCCCACAGCTAAAACAGAAGCAGCTAACCATTGTTCGTTTCCTATGATCTCTGTTTCTTCTTCAATGGCGCTTCCACTGTTGAAGTTGCTGATAACTAAAACAGAAGCAAAGAGGAAACAATACTTGTTGTGAAAGGCCATTTCCTTAGTACATGATTCTTTCAATTTCACATATGTTTGCCATTTATAGGCTTTATCTAGGCCTATATCGAGGGTCAAAAATATAGATATAAATAAAACGCATATCAATCATTTTCTTTGAGTAATAGGGCTTTAGAAATAATAATTTATAACCAAAAACAAATTTTAGAAATACTTTGGACGATTTCGAGGGGAAGAATTTTTGGATTTCTAAATTATAATTTTTTAATATAGCTTATATTTTTAGCCCTGATCTCTTTTTCAATAATTTCACTGCTTAACTTCTTTTAAAGAATACTGTTTTAGTCTTTATAATCTCACTTCTTGTTTAAACTAAATTTAAAATTACAAAAATTGTAATTAAGTTTATATTGCTCAAATTAATTTTAATTCAGTCTCTAATATTATTTTTTTTCAAGATGTTTTCATAAATGTGATATATATTTTATTACATATGTTTTGTGTAACTTTCTTTGATTAATAATTATGAATAATAAATGTATTCAGATAACACGTGATGATGTTATGCAAATAAAATATAGCAAACACTTTAAAAATTATATCATTAGGAAGTAAATTAATTAATTTATAAATTATAGATATTTAATCAAAATTTTAATATGCAAAAATGTAAATACTAAATAAAATTAAGGACTGAACGTAAAATTTTTCAACGTTTGTAGTAAAATATTACCAACTTCGCTAGTCATTCATTTAAACAAAATTTTTTTCATTGAGACATTTTTTAACAATTATTTGGTATATAATATTGCGGTCTGTCTCACAAAACTATAGTATAGCTGGATTCATATTAAAATTAAATAACTACTGTGTTTAAGTAGGGGTACTTTTTCTAACATAAATTTTTATATTCGTGATGTTTGAAACTTTTGAATTTTTTTTTCCTAACAACTTTTGATACCATTTAAAGGTTGCTTAATACATTCTATTCTATTATTCTATCAAGAGTTTTTCTGTTAGTGGTGATTACTTATTTATTCCATAAAATGATTATAAAGTAGTTATTCTCTGGACCTAAAATCACATATACGGATTCCATATAATGTACTATCTCATTAAGAGCTGGTTGACTAATATGAGTAGATTAAGAAAATTAGTTAAGTTATTTATTTGTAATAAATAGATGTTATCTTTTTTAAAGTAACCTTGCTAATCCATTGTCATTTGATGAAACATTTACTATATGCAACTACTACAATGACTACTTTGGAAAAAATGAATAAATATGAAAAATAAAGTAGATTGATGTCTTATATTTAAAATCAAATTAAAATTAAACTAGCCCTTATATTAAGGACCAACACATTTGATATTTATTATGGTTATTATGCATAAAGTGGTTGCTGACAGAAGATATTTATTATGATATATGATTTTATAAAGGGTTAAAGTGTAATTTTAACGAAAAAGTTTACTCTAAGGGGCATTGGGCACCATGAAGTTTACTTAGGTGCAAAAATATACTTGAAGTTGTAAAAATGGGGCATCCGGCACCACGCCATTAACATCTATTAGTTTACCGTTAGAGGGGCTCATGAAGTTAGTTTTAAGGTGTATTTTTAACAACAAAGTTTACATCAGGGGGCACTAGGCGCCATGAAGTTACTTGAGTGCAAAAATGTACATGAACTTTCTAAAAAAGAAAAAATAACAAAATTTTTCAACTCCCATAAATGTCCATTAATTTTATCCTTTTGGGTCCCATCAAATGCCATATTTTCTCTCCATAAATTTTCACTTCCAAGTTAATCTATCTTTCTCTTATCATAGTCAACACGCACACTTTTTCTATCATGTTGTTTTCTTAGCCTCCAGGCCCTCTATATGTATTTATGCAAAACGACACCTTTTCCTTCTAGAATATGAGATTCATTACTTGCACCCAAGTACTACTTCTAGTTCTTAATACAGGATGTAATAGACTAATTTGAGGAGATTAAAAAAATTAAATAAATTACTTTAAAGTATTATATTTATTATTTTTCTCCAAATTAATTTGTTTGGCTTATAAACTAATATAAAATCTAATGATGCATATAAATATTTTAGAGAGATCGCAT